TTTCAACTTTGTCATAGAGGATGCACTACAGGACGCTTTGCCCGGTCTAGAAAATGGAGTCGAACTACTCTCAGGGAACAGAATTCTTGAATAAGAATATGCCGATGACATTGCCTTGATAGGTGACAATACACAGAAAGTTCAAAGAGCTTCAAACCACTTGCACCCCACAAGTGCAAAGTGCATGAGCAAGACTGGCAGGAGNGTGGGGTTGAGGAAGAGAACACATCACGAATAGCGAAAGCTAGAGCAGCTTTCGCCAACCTGCGAATGATTTGGTACCGCAATGTCCCTTAAGAGAAGGATGCACATCGCCGCGGTTCGTAGTGTTCTGCTTTACAATTGCGGGACCTGGCCTCTACGGGCAGAGGACGCTAATTGACTTCCCACATTCGAACACCGATGCCTTCAAAGTATTGCTCGCGTTTTGTGGGAACAACGGATGAGCAATCACGAAATTCGTTGTAGTGTGCTGGTCACTGGTAGTCGTTCTCTAATGGAAGTTTCAGTTTAAACAACCATTAAGCATGCATTTCGGTGCGACGCTTTTTGTTGCTGTCTTTTAGGTACCCATTTGGGTGAACAATAGGAGGAAAACAAGACGGTTGAAAGAACGATCGAAGAGAAAATTGAGAAATTCAGTGGACTAATGGTTCAGAGAAATTGAGATGCACGAACGCCACTGTTTACGCCACCCAGCCATATCACTCGGTGTCTCTAGCCATTGATTACGGTTATCCCGAGGTCCCCGGCCGGGGAGACAGGCGTGGCTCAGAATGGAAGTCAGTAGCGCGATTACTGTGCGATTTGTTGGTCTAAACCCCGTTCCCCACAACAAAAAAGTGTACGGTGAAACTATCAAAAAAATCACTCATTCATTCACTCACTTGTCCATCCTATTCTCTATTTTCCCCATTTTCATTTCATCTTCCTGTACCCCTTCCTAATATGATTATCACTGTTTTTGCGTTGCCACCATGCATTTGCTGAGGCCCGTGTGAAATATATATATCATCCAGATTAGATTGGGCTGTGTCCAGTCCCGGTCGCTCAGACATTACGCATACACACATATACCAAAACCACGGCTCAGCCTGCACCCTTAGAAACCGACGGGGATAGCCCGTGCGGGTCTTTTAAGGTAGATAATTTCCCTGATTACTTCCATTTCAGATAAAGGACTGATACCTACTGGGACTATTTGCCCAACTGAAATAGGTATTGACATGTTATGTTCCGACGAGTTCCAGCCAAACTGTGCCTTAAAATGTTCTGCTCAACGTTCTAGACGGCGTTACTGAATTTGAATCAATGTGCCGTCAGACTATGTAATTAACTCAAGCCTACTCTTCTTGGGCCCGTACTCTTGATTAAAAGAAAAAGATTGCGACTATTACCGATAACCGCAGCCTTCTCCATCTCTCTACACTTTCCTACCCCCCACTTCTCGCGGTCCCTCATCAGATTCTTGATGAGCTAGCGTTTAAGGGATTCACGCGCTGCCATTTGGCATCAGAATGAATGGCTTTGAGAGCGTCAACCAGGGGAGCCGAGGTCCACGAGATAGACTGTTTCTGTTTCGATCGATTGGCAACCATTGCTGACACTATTATGTGCATCCATTTTCGGTGGCGTTGCTGCGGTTGTTTACTAAGCGTAGGGAGAATCTGGCTCGCAGCAGACAATGGTCCGTGTCTATGAGCATTGACCAGGTTTCTGGTTATCGCTTTCAAACACTGGATCGTTTTCTACGGTTGGGCATTAAACAAAAATGAAGCAGTGTATAAACCTGTTCTATGATACAAACGCATGATGTAATACATACATCTAAGTAACCTATCCTCTTAAAATTATGAAAGTTTAATGTCGGTAAATAGGATGATTAGAGGTCGCGAAGTCAATTGTAGTTTAGTCAGTGAAGAAAAACTCGGTCATAAATATCTCTGAATTCATAGTCAAACTGCTTAGGTAGCTGCTCTTAGTGTTCATTTCGCTCGCATGCTTATAGTCAATAAGTTGTGGTTTGTAAACGTCTGCGATATCCGAACAGGGAGAATTTTGCTTGGATTCAATCTGACTCCGTGATAGTTCTGAACCGGAGTTGTGCTATCCGCATTCATTAGATTTGTTAGATTAAGAAAGTGCAAACAGTTCGGAGGCTTTCTCAGCCCTAATTTGCCTAACCTCGTCAAACTGTAAAGGAGATTAGAGCCAGTTGTTTCACTTGTTGCGTGTTATCGGTTCCATCAGATATTATCATTGAGATGTTTGTTTTCAATTCACGTAACAGTTCGATATACAGTCGAAGTTGCTGCTTCCTCAATAAAAAAGAAGATTCACTATGTTGTGTTTGTTGTAAACGTTCGAAACGTTCGACTCTTGCTTAACCCCCAAAAATAACGCGGAAAAAACAGCTGGAGACAAAATTCAGCGTGTCTTTTTCCGACACGCAAATCTATGGGACAAATTGCGCATACGAGAACGGCATAGTGACGCACTAGTCAATCAGATTGCGTGCATGACATCGATTGGGCGATTGGACAATCATTGGCTTATTCGTTTTGTGATCATCCAGTCTTGAGCGTTGCGAGCGTGCGTGTGACCTGACTCGGAGGCGTGCGCGCTCGGACGGGTTGCTTAGGCGCCGTCTTAACATACAATAGGCCACCAAAGCTGCTCACAACGAAAAGCAGGTCATTAGTTTATATTTCGAGTAAGTTAAGATTTTGCATCCTTAATATTTCTTGTACTTGAGGTGTTTCACAAGCCTTACATTTAAGGAAGAAGTGGAAAGTAATACCCGGTTAAGAATGACAAGTATGCGTCTGTGACTTATCTGTGGATAGGGGAACCGCAGCCAAAATATGGTCTAGTCGTAAATCAGGCGGATCCAGGTTTATTGAATGAACGGCTGTAGACGAGTAGCGTTAGTGCCCTTGGAACAAGGAGGGTTTCATATCAATCGCATTCCCCATAGAAGGGCTCAACAGTTTGTCGGCTATATGGTGATGTGACAAATGAGCCCCACTATTGGTAAGAACTTCCTCCGTTCTGCAATCCTATCTATTCGACAGGGCTTTTCTGGATGGATGAATACATAAATAAATAGATAGAAAAAATAACTGAAATACGGACCTTTTACTTGTAACAGTTCTGCTACCTTGTTCACTTGCGTGTACCGGACAAATATGTTTCCCCAAGCATACGGGCTGAACGTTGATGCTTCTAATTATTTTTTCAGTGCTCTCGCTGTGATGCATGGAGCTAACCTATCCTCTAACAGAAAAAAACCATGTGTCAATTATATCTGCTCGGTTGGTTACTTCAGGTTATTTGTGAACCTGGATTGTTTGGACAGGGGAATTTGGCTCTGAGTTTTACATGACTAAATGTAGTAGAGTTTTGCAGGTTTCAGTTTGTCCATTTTGTCGTGTGTTTCTCATGATGAACCTGCAGCTCTAGTCCTGGAATTTCCATTCGCTAAACCTTTAGCGCATTACTGGGAAAATGTGTTTGCAAAGCTTTCTCCCATAATAGGATTTGATATTTTGACACTGACCCTCATGTATACTCTTATTGAATCAAATCAATATCTCTATTCTGTTTTGAGGTTGTTAGAGATTCATGTTTATTAAAACCAATTATTTGCTTGCATACTTTATTACTGTTATAATATTTGGAAAACAATAACAAATCATTTATTCCTTTAACCACCTGTTTCTAAATCCAGTGATTCTATTGTACCTCTGGCTAAGCAAGCTTCCATCACCGTCACCTGGGCACCGGAATATGGCTCAGCGTTTCCTCAGGGATTGGCATTGCTCACTCTACCACTCAGTTTACCCACACCAGGAGAAATACCCCTTGGTGTTTTGCAACCCGGTTCCTATCTGGTCGTGGCTCATCCTCCCTCTACACGCGGAAATATCCAAGTGAGTTTATGCTGATCAGAATCCCCTCCCTTGTTCCTCGCGCATAAGTTGAGTTCAAAGGACCGTAGCGCATACACACATCAATGAGGATTTTCTGCCCTCTGAAATTATATCGTTCCGAATGCTTTTACTCCTTTTCCTTATTTTGCTTATATATATCACCGGTTTGGGACCAACGCACCAACAAGAACAACTTAACGTGGAGAAGGGGGTCAAACAGTTGAAGTGAATAAAGTGAATAGCAGTTTGTTTGTTTCACCATATATTTTTTGATACCTTTTGTGTTTTAGTTTGTTGTTTTTATTTTAGGGTGGGAGGGGGGTACGGGATTTCAACAGGCAGACCGTACGGCATTCGTGCCACTGACTTCTATTTCGGGTTATATCTGTCAGTGTCGCTAATCAACGACGATCCTCCTCCCTCAGACCCCGACCTGGATGGGGAGGATGCAACAACGAAAGCGAAAACTAAAGCATTTTCATCCTTCTACGCCTTGGCACTTAGTGCAATCCGGATACCAGCAAAACCGCGAGCTTCGGATGCCGAATCGCCTGACACACGAAGAGTGAAGTGCAAGGATGACGTCAGATCCGGAGATGATAAGGTGATGATAGAAGTGGGGTGTTGTGTGCGGGTTTCGGAGACAGAGCAGCCATCCAAATTGAAAGTTCCAAGGGTTCTATTTAAGACAGCTTGTTAACCGACCTGATGAAATGTGCAGACAATAAATGCGGTTAAGTGAACAGGAGATTTTCGTTTCAAGAATTTAATCGCTTCTGGTTGAATGATATTGCCAGTTGAACGCTGAGTGATATCCGATGGATGGCGCAAAAATGAGGCATCTAATAAGATTTGGGAGTAAGAGGAAGAACTGGACAAACTGCGCCAAAATGAACTGACTATCACTGAAGACGACACCTGAATAAGCCACCCGAAGCCAAAGCCTAAACCAGCTTCATACCTCTGTGACACGGCATGGTCTAACCGCCGCGCTGCTTGTTCGGCCTTACCCGGCACGTACAAATGGAGCACGGAAAGGTAGTCGAGGGACAGCGTACGCAATACATGATGAAGTCATTGGAGGTGATACAGAGCGATTGCTTCTGTTAGAGACTTACTATCCGCACCCAACACACGACAACGAACCTCGTCATTGCTCACCCGATATTCCTACCAGACACGAGCAATGCTTCGGAGGCATCGGTGGTCGAATGTGGAAACCCGATTAGCATCCTCAACGCGGAGGGGACAGGCCTTGCAACCGTAAAGTATAACGCTGCGAACCGCGGCGATGTACACCCTACCCTTAAGGGACAGTCTAATGTCATGGCGGCGCCACAGGTGTCGCAGGTTGGCGAAAGCTACTCTAGCTTTCGCTATTAGTGATGTGATCTCATCCCCAATACCAGCTGCGACCAAGTTTCCGAGGTACTGAAAGCTCTCGACTACTTGTAGCTGATCACCACAGGGGGTGAGTGCAGACACAGGCTCCTGCCAGTCTTGGAAAAGCACTTTGCACTTGGGAGGTGCAAAGCACATATAATTTCGGGGTACCTCGATCGCCAAGCGGTTCAATACGTTTTGGACTACCCGTGTATTGTTACCCAGCAAGGTGATGTCATCGGTGTATTCTTACTCAAGAATCCTGTTCTTGGGAGGAGTTTGACCCTACCATTAGCTAGACCGGACAAAGCATTCTGTAGAACATCCTCCATGACAAATTTGAAAAGGAGTGGAGATATAGGACAGCCTTGTCGAACTCCACTGGAGACGGCGAAAGTTGGCCATAGGCCCTAACCTGACCTGAAGAATGAAGATACAACTCTTTGATAATCGACGGTCGATCTAAGAGTTCGTTCGTAATCCACTCTAAGTATTCAGTCCCCGTGTTTGCTTAAACATGTATGATACGCGTGCTCGAATCATGGCTCAATCATAACAACCGGTTCACTTCACTTTCTTATTCACATACTGTGTTCAAAGATAGAATAATTTTTTTCTTGCTATCAGTCGATTTATCTGTTAACTTTTGACCAACCTATGACGTATGCCAATCACTTGCACATGTCCTACTTGTCTTTAGATGGAATTGATTGTTGAGACCTTCCTAGATCCCACAGAACGGGTACAGACACTATCCGAAGGTCACCTATCCTGGCATTACCCTACTCCGGTAGAAATTAAAAGAAACATTCCACATCCTTCAGTCGGTTCTGGGCTGTCTGCATTTCATCGTATCCGGTTCCCACGATCTGAATTTCTCTTCGGTCCATCGTTCCCCGCTCCTCGGTTGACCGTGGCTGCTATACACTGCTCGGAAAACACGGGTAAGCGAAGCTAAACATTCTATGTCAGTGGTGATGGTCTTACCAATGAAGCACGTTACCTGTTGTGCACTTTAATACTGTCTATGAAGACTGACATTTTGCTGCACCTAGGGCACATAATCTCCTAACCAGGTTCTCCTGTACGATCACAAATGATCGCGTGCACGATGCGTCTGTTGGCGCGTGATTTGTATTGGGAAATCTATGCTGTATTCCGTAAAACACTTAATGTCACACATTTGCAGTCTTATCTTCACAATCGCTTCATCTAGAAACGATGAAAGTGGACATTATCTGTCGAGGTTGTTATTAGCGAGAAAAATACCTTCGTATGTTCGAATTGCTAGTAAATCCCCTTTAGAATCTGCGAAAACAAGCCACCACGTGAGCAACTTTAAACTTTTTTCATCAGGCAATAATGACCTACTGCGAATGGTTGTCAATACTCACAACCACGCAAACTGTTCGGAGCATTATGATTTCAGCTTCATTGCTCCCAGATCACGACTCAGTGTGAACCACTGTTCACCCAAAAGGACGAGGTAATAACCAGGCAAAGTCCTGCGGCCGAAGTTCACCGATCGGAAAACGTGGTTATTAAACCGTTAGCCAAAGTCGTTGAATATGGCTTCTGAAAACCGCTACTAATTCATGGCAAAACGAAACGAAGACTGACTGGGACTTTCTTTACCCAAGTAAATAGTGATGTTGTGATGAAAAGCAGTATGTTGCGTCAAAACCTGATTGTCAGAAGGGTCAAATAACTTCATTAGAAGGCTCCACTTCTGGTAGTTCATGGTTCTGTGTCCAACTGAAGGTTAAATGAGGCTAAGAATGCAACCGACAGTGGAACGCATCACTTAAAATGGAGAATGAGGTTAAGTTCTCCTCGAGTAGAAGAATAGTTCCTTTCGGGTGGTCTGGGTAGAAAGATTTACTAAATCAGCAACTTCGTAAAGTAGTTAAAGAACCGCAATATTTGTAATCGTTTTATCAGATTTGATTATTAGTATAAAAGGATCGTAATACTGAAAGAAGCTTCTTGGGTACACTCTCCAGAGAACGTTAGTGCCAGAGTGTAGAGCGGTCGACTGCGTCGAAGGCCGTTTCAGATCGAGAAAAAGAGATCATGGGTCTACGAAAAGAACTTCGTCACTCCAGTAGTTGGCGACCGTAATAGTTGTGGTCCATAGAGTCGAAAAACAGTGTGATGCTTTCGCGTGCACTGTTCGTCTGCGGCACACAATCGACGGTGTATCATACGGGCAAGTTGTTTGGCGGCAGTGTTGATTAAACTACTTCCTCCGTGGTTGTCACAGTAAAATCTTCTTGAGAGTCGACGAGAGGATTGATTCACAGCATTTTGTTGGATTTTCTTCTCTCTCTCACAGTGCGCCCCGGAGTTTCGTCAAATCCTAGACTAACGCTGAACTTCCCGTCGTGGCGGAAAGCCTTTGCGATGACTTATTTCGCCGGAAAGCTCCGTTTCAGATGGAGGACTGGTATCAACTGTTAGTAGTTGTCTGGTTGATGCAGTTGTTGACAGGCCCATTGTCGATGTGTGCCTCGAGATGTTCAGCCGCGTCGTTCAAGACGGCGTTACTGACTGAATCAGTGTGGTATCCGAGGCCTTAGGTTTCTCACTTTTTTCACTTTCTATGGCCCTCTATTCCTGATTGGATGTCTATTACCGATAACGGGCGCATTTTCCATCTCTTGACACATTTCTACCCACCACTTCTCGCGGTCCTCCTCAGAATCTGTATCAGCTAGTGTTTACGGGATTTGCGTGCGGTCACGTTGTCAGTTACCGTTAAGCAACAAGCCATCGTTTATATGGTCTCGTCTCATCTACACCGTAGAATGCAGCTAACAAATGAGTAAAAATATTTTCCACATCGGTTTCTTCGGTTTGCCCTTTTTTAAAGGCAACAACCCAAAGGTCATCATGGTTGAGTTCGTCAGTTTTACCTAAATTCGAAAATTTCCTCCCACTGTACAAAAACCCTTAATACTTATAATGTTTGTTCCCTTTTCGCTTTGATTCCATTTTCAAGAGTTTTTTTCATGCTCTGTTTGAGCTCTCCGAGCACCGACCTGCAAATCATTACTGAAGAGGCACCGCTTGTTCGCAGATTGTACCTCTGGAAATTTCACACCCAATCCCGTTTTGTGCACTTTTCATTCCAGGTGATCGAGGCTTAGTCGCATTCCATGCGCCGTGGGCAAACTATTTTCGTCACACATTTGCCAGGTAATGATGTCTCACTGCATTTTTCAGTTTTTTTGAGTTATTTTGTTGTCCGTCTTTTTCATTCTACCGCGAAAATATTCCAAGTTGCCGAACGTGGTAATTTCACTGGTTCGCAGTGTATACATTTTAAGATTTACTGATATTTTGGTGTTCACGTTTAGCCACTGGGAGGTGTTGTCAATTTTCGGTTCTATGTTGTCAGTCATTTAGTAAACGGTTTGGTAGAATTCTAGCAGGAGCCTTTATATGGCTCTGTCGTTTCCCTCTATGCATTTTCACTCGCACATCAGGAGATGTTTTTTTGATCAAAATATCTTCTCAAATCGGATTAAATTAAATTCGTGATGTGATCGTTCTCGCCGCGTGCTACACCAAGTGTAAGAGGTGTGAACTTTTAATTCCGGACTTTCCACCGGATGAGCACCACGCATGAACGAAACTTGACCCTGATGCTTCCCGAATCCATGGTTGATTGCGTACAGATGAATTCCGAACGATGTGCGATCAAAGTCAATACCACTGATTCCCCATCCATGCTCACAAATAACTGAGTCAAACGTTCATTCTAGTTCAACTCTCTAACCTATGCAAGCGGATTTCAAACCGAGCATAACTTTCTTTTAGTGGCACTTGATTTCTTGACTGACCAACTACCTTTTCAAATGTGTAGTGTTTGAGTTTTGTCTCACACGATATGGTTGCAGATTTTTTCACCAGTGATAAATTCACGTCATTGTAGATAAAGGTATCTTACATAGCGTAGAGGTAAATAGTTTGACTCCCCAACCATTAGAATTTACCTGGGGAGCAATGAAGGTGATAGGACACAATGTACCTACAAGATGCTCAATGTAACTGTTCCGATAATTAACAGCGAACCTAGATATTCATGGTCTTGTAACTCCGCGGTAAAGTTGATAATTCTTAGAAGTAAGATCTCGTTTTCTCGCTCCACTCCCGATACTGTTCATACTTGGACAATTTTTGTCGAGAATTTAATCTTCTTCACTGTTCCACGTATGTTATATGCAAATTTGTGACCTCTTATTGAAGATTGCTTTCTATTTGACCGGATCGTTCATTTTCGCTTCCTCACAGTCGTAATTCTTCGGCAGTGTTGGACTTGGATGTCCCAACTACACAACCGAACGGTCCACCTGACGAAACTCTGTTCGTCGATCTCCTGTTAAAGCCACACTGCACGTACCGGATATCCTTGCAGCTCTCCTTATTCCAATGGATAGGAAAAGTTAGTGGTTAATATCGTGTTTCTCTTTTGCCAACTGCACACCATTATTTTTTTTTGTTAATATGCTGCTTATGTTTTCTGTGTTTGATAAACGGCCGGTTTTTCTTCTGTGACCACAAGTAAGTGTTCCGTGAGGTCTGAGTTCACTTCCTTATCCACTCCTCGTTTCGCTGGTTTCCTCCCGTTCTCTTATCCAGAATCACTGAATTTTTGCTTGATCCATCCGTCCATTCATTTCTCCCTTTTATGTAACAGTTCACTTTGTTATATTGAATATATAATCGTATGATCCACTTTCAGAAGGGGAGGAGCATTTAATCAAGGACTCTTATGTTATATAAGGAACAAGAGAGAAATCAGGCATTGGCGATGAGTTATGAAAACAGTCTTTATGACGATCACTTGGTGACCTTGACCGCTTATGTCTCTGATTTTCTCCAGAATAACTCTTTTTTGCGTTCTTTGCTGAATACCTTTTTGCATCCAGTTGCATATTAGCGCATGAAAACAGGATACGGTAAAATCGTGACCTCATGCAACGTAATATCAATGCACACGTGAATTTAATGCGGCGAACTTTACCGGTTCTTTATTTTTGACTTGTTCGTGACCATCTCCTATTATAGGATAATCCGGCTTCTTGAATATATCCGATGGATAGTTTTCACGCGCGCCGGTTCAGATTATCATTCGGTCACGTTTCTACTAGCCAGACTGAACTCAGTGTAGGCCGTAAGCTTTACACTCTTGACTTCACAATGTTTCGCATATTTTAGACTTTCTCGAGGTAAATGAACATGCAAGAATCATCGGAATGTGAGTCGAATCCGTATCCTCAACACAATTCGGTCTTTCTATCCACAGACGCACCTCCAGCCTTTGGACAACTACCTGCGAGCTGCAAGGTGATAGAGTAATGTTTCATTGAAATGCCTTCAAGTGTCTTGCCGCCAATCAGGTCTTGCCCCCCTCCCGGAGGTTTACTGCACCACAGCCTCTGTCCACTAGGGCGCAGCTTTTCGGAGCCACAGGTATCCGATGAACACCAGGAATCGGAGAATCTCCCCGAGTGT